CCAGATTCTCAACGAGAAGGGAGGGAGGGAGGGAGCCAGCCACGGACTTCCCTCAGGGACGGATGAGCACCTGTGTCTGCGTGTTCCCTCCTTCGAGCAGGGCGATGCCCAGCAGAATGCCCTCAGAGAAGATGCGGTCGTTTCTGGTGCTCACGATCACGTCAATGACCAGCTCCGATGCGCCTTCTTTGTCCAGCAGACACTGAATGTCGGCCATCACAATGCCTGTCTTCTCTGACTCTGGTCCAGAAAAGCTTCCTATGGGAAAGAAAAAGCAAGCAATGGGCATCCGCCGGGTACAGTGGTTCACAGATGTGATTCCTGCCACCGGGCTTGAGCGTTCAAGGCCGGCCCAGTCAAGCACTTGTGAGGCGCTCAGCTCCACAGACAAGGGGAGGCGCGTGGGCCAACCGGCATCCCGCGTCCGAGGGGAGAGGAAGCAGGCTAAGTCAGGCCCAGACAGAAGGTCAGACGCTCCCTCAAAACCAGACTGAAGAAAACGAGCGGAGGTGTGGCTCAAGTGTGCGGTGGGGCCCCAGTTCAAAGCTCAGCACTGACAGATACATAATAATAAATAAATAAACCTGAATCGCAGTCATTGTCATATATTCTCAAATTCTTAAAGCCCTAAGAGCATTTGGGGGGGGGGTAGCTGTGGGAGGGAGGGAGGGGAAAAACAGAGGAGGCGTCGACGCTTGCTGAGAGGTGGACTCAGGACCTTGCTCATGCCATGGTCACCCCTCTGTACGGTATTCTCACAATAAAAACTCCTTTTCAGGGCTGGGCAGGTGGCTCAGTGGTAGAGCGCTTGCCTTGCATGCCTGGGGCCCTGGGTTCAATTCCTCAGCACCAGATAAGCAAAAAGAAAAAAAGCCGGAAGTGGCGCTGTGGCTCAAGTGGTAGAGCGCTAGCCTTGAACTGAAGAGCTGAGGGACAGTGCCCAGGCCCACAACAGGACCCCCCCCAAAAAAAGATAAAAAAACAAAAAGATAAAAAGTATTTATTGTGCAGACTTTTCTCCTACAGTTAAATAGAACAGAAACGAGTTTAAAAATTTAAACCAAAACCGAAAAAAGACAAAATGATCAAAATGTGGTGAAAATGGGGCATGTTACTAAATGTCTGAAGCCTGTGATTAAATAGAATTACATCATTTTCTTTTTAAGAAACTACTTTAAAACCAGAAGCTGGTTTTATTTTTGTCTATTCTGTAGCTACTAAGGATCTCGCGAGTTAGTGCCACTTTAACATCAGACCATGATTTCATAGTTTCCAAAGCCACAAAGCAAAATGAGTGAAAACTCTTAAGCTGTTACCTTATGAGACTACACAAATTGCCACTTGTGTGTGTGTGTGTGTGTGTCGCACGCACGCACGCTGGCCCTGGGGCTGGAACGCAGGACCTGTCACTGAGCTTTTGTGCTCAAGGCTGGTGCTCAACCACTTGAGGCACAGCGCCACTTCCAGCTTTTTAGTGGTCAACTGGAGATAAGAGTCTCACAGACATTTCCTGGTAGGGCTGGCTTCAAACCCTGATCCTCCATCGCTCACCCTTCTGAGTAGCTGGGATTACAGGCATGAGCTATGTTGTAGCTGTGGTGGGGTTTGAACTCTGGGCCCTGGCCGAGTTGGGTATTTGTGATGGTGGTTTTCAGTAGACATGTTACATTTGTGCCAGGTCAGTACAGCCCTGGAGTCACAGAGACCCAAGAAGACCCGGCGAGAGCTTGTGGTCAGCCTCACCTCCCGCTTGTGGGGGCTTCGGGAAGCCCCCCGAGAGGGGCCCATTCCCACCGGCTCCGGAGCCTCCTTTGAAGTACCGATCCAGGAGAACTTTCCTCAAGGTGCTGCCCTGAGGAAGAGAAGGAGGAGTTAGCGCCATCATTCCTTTGCAACGTCAAACGAAATGCAAACGATGATCGCGGCGGCCCTCGTGGCGTACCTGTGATCACAGAATACCGAAAAGTCCACCAGGCACGACCAACAGCACTCCAGACACCAGTGCTGGGAAGCGGTCTACACCCTGGGACCAGGCACCACTGTGGTCCGTAACCCAATGACTCAGGGTGCCCAGACGGGAGGCTCGTGGCTCAACTCCAGCCAGGTAAAAATGTGTGTGGGACTCTTCTCCCCAAAACCAGCAAGAAGCCGGAAGTGGGTGTGCGGTTCAAATGGTAGAGCGCCAGCTTTGAGCGGGGGAGAGAAAGCCAAGCAAACACACGAAACCCTGAGACCAGGCCCCAGTACCAGCAGGGGAAAAGAGCAAATACAACTTCGAACCCACTCAGAGAACGGCAAAAACGTTCAAAGACGATGATCCGCCCGTCTGAAGTGGACCGTGACTGACCAACCACCAGAAGGACACAACAGCCAGCCAGTCTGGTTAAACTACGCCTGAAATACACACCCGTTTTGCTACATAAACCGTGTCTTAGAGGATTAACTGAAGGAGGGGGGCTGGAATCTAGCTTGGTTCCGATGCCATGTTGTCAGGTGCTCAAAACACAGGCATTCCGTTCTTCCCCATGACTTTTCTGTGAGAACGGAAAAGTTCAACTCTGCCAGCTCGGAAGTTCAGAAAGACGACGTTGTCCCCAGATAGCAAACAAAAGCTATGGTACAACACCCAGGCCCTGAGTTCAAGCCCCAGTACCAATGAGAAACAAACAAACTGATCATGAGATGCAATGCATGCCAACAAATCCATTACCCATCTCTTGTCTCTTAAAATCTAAAAAATAAAAATCTATCATGTACAAGGTCTCAAACTCAGGTGCGTGGCAGATCATTCAAAACCAAGAGAGATGCCTTTCATCTACACTAGGATGCCTTCTAGACGGTTCCATGATATAGAAGTGCTACGTAGAAAAAAAATAAGGGAAACGAAATAATGAAAATATGATGCAGATTCAGTATTACAGGAGCTGAAATTAAGTAGGTTATCCATTGTCACACTAAGGAATGAACACTCACCAAACAACAAAATTGTGAACAAATTCACCATTCTGCTGCCTTCAGAGGTACGCTGTTGCGATGACAGACGCCCTGAAGCTGCGTAAGCAGAGGTGGGGGCAGCTTCTGCTTGCACACTTAGCGGTGAGCAGAGATTAAACAACACACTGCCCTTGCCTAATTTAAGCACTAACACTCGAGAACTTCCAGAACAAATTGTGAGTCACTGGCACCTCCTGTTGATCTATGGTACTGCAGCCCGGTTACCACAGGTTGGAAGGGGGAAGAAATAGCAACTTGAGAAGATTTCAACCTGGGGGCCTGGGAGGGAGGGAGGGGGAGGTGAACATGAACGCAGCAGGTTACAGGCAGATGCGAAACTCATGATTCTACACAATTAATGGATACAAGTAAGGAGATTGTAGTGAGCCAGCTACTCACTGGCTCACCAGCTACTCAGGAGGCTGAGAGCGGAGGATTGTGGCTGGAAGCCAGGCCAGGCAGGAAAGTCCGGAGACTATGATCTCCCATGAACCACCAGAAAAAAAAGTGGTGTTGTGGATCAAGATGGAAGAGCGCCAGCCTTGAGCGTAGAAAGCTCAGGAGCCTGCTGCACCCAGGCCCTGAGTTCAAGCCCTACCACAGACAAAAAAGTGAAACAGCTTTTTGGTGGCTGTGATCTGCGTGGGGAAGGCTCTGCAGTGCGGCTGGTGGCTCCCCTCCCCAGCCCTGCCATCCGCCCGGGGTTCTACCCAGCACAGCCACATTTGGCCACCCGCCTGGGGTTCTACCCAGCCCAGCCACATTTGGCCACCTGCCTGGGGTTCTACCCCAGCCCAGCCATGTTTGGCCACCCGCCTGGGGTTCTACCCAGCCCAGCCACGCTTGGCCACCCACCTGGGGTTCTACCCCACCCCAGCCACGTTTGGCTCAGCGAAAGACATGGGGTGCCGGCTTTCAAAGGAGCTATTTCCGTGAATGGGAATGGGGCGGGGGATGGGGGGCGCATTCCCCAGGACTCAGTGACTCCTGATAATAAAAGGGAACAGAAAAACCAACACGGGGCCTAAGCACGTGGCAGGTGCTGCACAAATCCAATACAACTGTGTCACCACCATCCAAGCTGTTGGAGTGTCTTCTCAGGCTGAGGTATGAGTACGAATTCACAGGCACCCACACCATGGCAGAATTTTATTATTTTTGTCCGTCTTGAGGCTTGAACTCAAGGCCTGGGCGCTGTCTCTGAGTTCTCTCTGTTCAAGGCGAGCGCTCTCCACTTCCCATTTTCTGGTGGTTAATGGGAGATAAGAGCCTCAGGGACTTTCCTGCCTGGGCTGGTTTCAGACCACGATCCTCGGATCTCAGCCTCCTAAGTAGCTGGGGGTACAGCGGGCAGCAGTAGCTAGCAACATCATGATCCAATTTTAAGGTTCACCGTTTCAGATAAAAGACAGCGTCAGGCCGGGCGCTGGTGGCTCACGCCTGTAATCCTAGCTACTTAGGAGGCTGAGCTCTGAGGATCGCGGTTCAAAGCCAGCCCGGGCAGGAGAGACCGTGAGACTCCTATCTCCAATAAACCACCAGAAAACCGGAAGTGGCGCTGTAGCTCAAGTGGTAGAGTGCTTGCCTTGAGCTAAAGAGCTGAGGGTCAGCGCCCAGCTTTGTCTTGGTGCATTAATATCAATCAAAATGGAAAAAGATAGCGTCGTTATGCACCTGAGGCAGAAATCAATGACATACCCTGGGAAGTTGGACTTAGATGACATCACGGGTCGGGACAGTCAAGGGCGGAAGAGAACCAGACTTTCTTTGCCAAAATTAATACCAAAGCGTGTTTTCACGTGCAATCCATTCAGTCAAGTACAGGAGAAATTCCAGTAGAAACAACAACAACAACAACAAAAATGCTGAGCACGGTGGCTCACGCCTGTAACCTCAGCTCCTCGGGAGGCTAAGACCTGCAGATCCTGGTTCAAATCCAGCCCAAGCAGGAAAGTCCATGAGATGGCTTATGCCCAACTAACTAGGAAAAAGTTGTAACTGGAGATGTGGCTCAAGAGGTGGAGCTCCAGGGCTGGGACGGTGGTTTAGTGGTAGAGTGCTAGCATGCATGAAGCCCTGGGTTCAACTCCTCCGTACCACATACACGGAAATAGCCAGAAGTGGCGCTGTGGCTCAAGTGGTAGAGTGCTAGCTTTGAGCAAAAGAAGCCCAGAACAGTGCCTGGGCCCCGAGTTCAAGCTCCACGACCTGCCAAAAACAAAGGAGAAGAAGAAGACCTCCAGCCTTGAGCACAAAAGCAAAGTAAGAGTGCAAGGCCTGGAGTGCAAGCCCTCGTACAATATCTACACAAAGTTAAAAAAAAAAAAAAGAAGGTAAGAAAGAGAGAAACAGAGACAGAATGAGAGAGAAAGAGGAAGGATGGAGAGAGGGAGAAAAGGGGAGACAGAAAAGCCCCAAGTGTTTTAAGCTAGCCACTGCAGAGCCCAGGTTTTTAATATATATATTTTTATTGTAAGACACTGTGCAGAGGGGTTGAAGTTACACGAGGAGGGAATGAGCCATTTCCTACGGAGCACTGTTACCCCTCCTTTGTTTTCCCCCCACCATCCCTTCCCTCCCCACCTCTACAACCCCTCCACCCCCCCCCCAAGTTGTGAAGTTCGTTTTCAACACAGTGTCTTGTACATCTCATTGTTACAAGGGGTCAACCTGCATCCTTAAAGCATGCGGTGATTTCCCTTCCCCTCCCCAAATTATAAAAATGTATATACAAGATGCAGGGCACTGGAATCACACACAGTGAAAACGGGTTCTACCATGGGGGAGAACATACAAAAGAAACAAAAAAAATCATATAATACGTTAAAAACAATAGCCAGGAAGAAAAAAACCACTTGTGTCCCTGTCTTAGGGTTTATTTTGCTTAACATCATCTTATCTGGTCATACATACATAGCTTTTGACCTTTTCTGCTTGCCCTAGACATATGCTAGTTATTGCAAATAAGGGAAATCATGGGGCCTGTGTTTCTTTGGACCTGGCTTACTTCACTTAATATAATTTTTTCCAAGCCTTTCCATTTCCTAACAAATGGGGAAATGTCATTCTTTCTGATGGAGACATAGACATTTTCTTGATCCATTCATCTACTGAGGGGCATCTGGGTTGGTTCCATATCTTAGCTATGGTAAATAATGCTGCAATGAACAT